TTAATACCTGATTAACTTTTCAAGCTTTTATTTTTAAGCCTCCTATAAAGAAAGTACTGCTTTAATAAGAATAAATTAAGACCTGCAGTGGAACAAAAATCTTCAAGAGCTCTTCAAATCCTTCCCAGACTTACTTTGCCCTTGAAATGTCTTGCTATCTCCAAGACCATTGGGTCCAACTAAGAGTATATGACCTATCCTTAATAAAGCAGAGGCCAGGTTTGAATATTAAGATTACCAAAGACCTAAGGGTCTATATGGATTATACAAAAAGACTAACATGAAATCCAACAATCTGGTTTCTAAAACCTGGACTGTTCTCATCTGATGGCCCATTCTGTCTCCCAATGTTTCTTAGTGGGAGATACCATCTCTGCACCCTCACCCAGGTGCTCAGTAAGGAAGCCACCTTACTTAAAGTACAGTGTCAGGCCCTACCATGAAGCCAATCCTTCAGCCTTCAAAATGGGATAAATTACTTATCCTGCAATCTCCAACACTAACTCAAGGGAACTGACTACTAATGCCTACCAATGATCCTACTTGGAACATAAATTACTCTCCCGGATAGTGCGGTAGTACTCCCAGAAAGAGACATTCCTGAAGCCTTGGGATAGTGAAAAGATCACTGGAGTAGCTATCAGATCAAGTGATTTTGTTACTGACTCCAAGAGTCAAATTCTTTCAGCCTCAGAAGCCTTAATGACATCACACATCCATTGAACCTCTCTCTCAAGGGGTAAAGAATAAATGAAAGCACAGATGGGAAAGTGCTTTGAAAAAATACAAAATGAGTTACAAAAACAAAAGACCAAACAATTTCCACTCCAGAGATTCTAAAGGTCTTGTTGGCTTTTCACCAATTCTAGCCAGGTCATTGAAGCTTATTTTAATTCCAGACCTAGAGATTTGAAATATATGACTAACATTTTTTGCAACTCTGGAAGTAAGATTATGAGTTAAATCCAACAATCATGCAATGTAACACCAAATTGTTTATTATATAAAGCTATTGGAAAGCCATTATTCTGGCTCTTTTCCCCCTTCTCTCCACGTTCCTTATGCCCAACTTGGCCATTAACCATATAATACTTATCAAACACTAATTGATTGCTGAAAGGTGAAAAATACTGGTTTAGAGGCTGTGAGGAAAGAGATATTAAAGTTTCTTGCGGTCTTTCAGGAACCTACAATGTGTGGCAAGCAGTATGAATCATATTAAAATGTCCGTGTAGCCAGGCCTATACTTAAAGAGTTCAAATGCTAAATTATGGTGTGATCTTTGGCAAGTTCTCGTAAATACGGGATCATTTTCTCCCTACGGTTCAGATGAGTGGATTCAGGTCAGGAAGAGTGCCTGGGATGTTAGTGTTTTTTGTCGGTGAGCACAGTGAGGGTCTATCAGATAATCAACAAAACGCAGTGAGGTGGCAGAGCCGTTTCTTTTTGAGATGCAAACCCTCCTACGTATTCGGAATGTTGCGATCTCAGTCTGCCTCGTCCTTCAAATGCAAAGACAATAAAAGCTCCAATGGCCGTTTACGGACCTATGGAAAACTTTTTCTGTTTTTCCAACCCAATTCCAATCACTCCTTCCCTTAACTCTTTCTCTAATAACCAAGGCTAATGGTATCTTTGCCGATCCGAGTGAATAAAATAAACGTGACTCATACTTGACCAAATAATTAAATAGACTCCTTTTCCTTGGAATTTCTAGGGAGGCAATTCTTAGTGTACTCGCTATCTTTTAAAAAAAATTATAATATAATGCTATTATGTTGGGCTCGAAATAAGATGGGTTCATCCCCAAGGTCAGTGACCGGGAGGGGGGCATCATGTCCAGATTCCTTCTAATCCTTCCCCCCCTCCCTAAATCCGTCGGCTACCTCACTGGCCTGGGTGCGGGGGCGAGCGGGTTGGGTAAGGGGAGGTGGAGCAGGAACTTCATTGTTCGCGGGACCGACTCTCCCCGAAAGGGCCCGTTGACAGCGCCTGCGCAGTGCGCTTTCTTTGTGCCGGGCTGCAGCAAGCTGGTTGTTTGTGTGCGTCTTTCCAAAGCCAGAGAGGCGGAGAGGCG